TGTGCACCTATATTGGGATGATCTCATTCATCCTAACCTCGCTTTCCAAGACGGGAAATGGAGGCTTGAAGAGACAAAGCAAATCTCTCAAGCAGGCAGAACTAAAAGGCCAAGTAGAATATGAAGGCAGACTTGTGGGCTCCAGATCCCTCCTGTTTGTTTAGCCAAGTGAGGCTGCTGGCCTGCCTCCTCCTGTTGATGTGAACCTTAGACAAATCCTCCTGTGCCAAGTTTGATGCTGACTGCTTCTGAGAGGTAGAAAGATGAGCAAGACAGGGAGACACAGATACAGGCTTCAGGCTATGAGAGCTTAGGGCCTGGAGGGATCCAGGAGGGCTTCCTGGAAGCAGTGGTACTTGATGGAGCTATGTAAGAAGTGGGGAGGGCAAACAGGTCAGAGATGGGGTGTGTGTGTTCCAGGGGACATATTGGTACACATAGGGACGAAAGTGCCCCAGCCAGGAAGGTTCAACTTCATCAGCAGGCCAAGAAAGGCTATGGAAGCTTCCAGCAGGGAACTGATGCTACTAGAGCCATACTTCAGAAAGCAAAGCGGAAGTTAGTTATGAGTCAACAAGGGTGAGAATGAACGTGACTGGAGCGGCTAGGAGGAGATGCTTGGTGCTCTGAGCGGGGATATCATAAAGCACATATATAGTTTCCTGCCCAAAGTGCCCTGGATATGAGGAATGGAGTCCAGTGTGACACTTGATGTCTGTGAAGGTAGACTAGCAGGGACAGAGGAAGGGTGGCAGTGGTGGGCCAGGCTGTGCAGGCTGTGATCAGTCAGGCTGTGGGGAACAGGGAGCTGCAAGGGAGTTGGGTATTGTTTATGGGGAATGCATGAGTAATAGGATTCCTGACAGAGATAGGAGATGTGATAAGAGGGGATCTTGGGGGGCAGAGCCAAGTATGAAATACAAAGAGCCAGCACCCAGCCTCTCTTTTATGCCAGCAGTGACATTCAGGCCAGATGACTGATTGTGGCAGGGGCCGTCCTGTTCTTACAGGATATTGAGCAGCATCCCTGGGCCCCACCTACTAAGATGCCACTAGCAACACCCCCACTCCCATAGTTATGACAACCAACGATCTTTCCAGACATTGCCCAGTGTACCTGGGTAACGTCACTTGGTTGTAAACTACTGCCTTAAAAATAAATGATAAAAAGCTTAGATCCATAGAAAGGTTATAGTTAATATAGATATCTAGAGAGAGTCTCATGTTAAAGCAGGGTCTCTCAGCCTCAGCACTGTCAATATTCGGGGCTGGATGTTTACCATGGACTGCACAGTAACCAAACTATTGATGCTATTCCCTGAAATGTTGGCCGAATGGCCTGATTAGTAGAGTATATCAGTATCAAGGAATGAACTGGAGGCCAGGCACAGTGGCTAATGCCTGTAATCCCAGCACTTTGGGAGGCTGAGGCAGGAGGATTGCTTGAGCCTAGGAGTTTGAAACAAGCCTGGGCAACATGGTGAAACCTCATCCCTCTTAGAAAAAAAAAAAAAAAAAAAGCTGTGCATAGTCCCAGCTACTCAGGAGGCTGAGGTGGGAGGATCACTTGAGTTCGGGAGATAGAGGCTGCAGTAGGCCATGATCATGCCACTGCTCTCCAACCTGGGTGACAGAGAGAAAACCTATCTATCTATCTTTCTCAAAAAACAAAAAATTGGAAAACTTAGGAGATAAAAAAGAAGCTGCAGGCATGCTCTTTCTTGAAAATCTATCAGATCTGGAAAAAAAACCCATGTATGGAAGTGACCCAAAGGAGGTTGACGAATACACAGAATGACCTCTAGAGGCTCCTTTCAGCACTAATGATCCCTGAAGGAGACCTACAGACCCTCATGAACTGACCCCCAACAGGCGTTGGCCTGCTGCTTTTTTCCCACATTGGCAGGTGCCGTCACAACACTCACTACAGCAACTCCTTCCAGCCCCACCTTGCCCTCGGCCTCTGCTGCTGGAAATGACCACTGGCCCATGGGGGTGTGGCTGGCACAGCGGAGGGAGAATGTACCTGACTTGTACATAAAGGCAATGGCTGGGAAAGACACACAACATGGGCAGGACCGACTTTATAGACCAGCCTCTCATGTGAAATTTTACTTCTTCCTCTTTGCTGACTTGGCCAGGTTAACAGGTTAGCCCTGGATTACAGGAAGCACATGTGCTGCAAAGTCTCCTCGGAGACTCACATGGCCCTCAGATGAACAACTGTTCAAATTTCTTTTCCTTTTCTATGGGAATAAGAGTTCCTCTGCAAAGTACATGTTTTAGGCTTTTTTTTTTTTTTCTCTTGCTATGCCCAAGGGCCTGGTGATATTTTTCCTTACCATGCATTAAACAGAATCTGGAGTCCTTGTGAAAACAATAAAAGGCAGGGGGGAGCCTACTAGTTAAAAAGTTTCTAGGTACACTTCCAAGATATACCAATTTATTGATATACAAATGACATAACAATAAATTATTGAATGCTTGCTAGGGGCACTCTCTGTTCCAAGAACTTTAAGTATTGACTTACATGAGTTACTTCACAGCAGTTCTATGAGGTAGGTACTATTATTATGACCACTTCACAGATAAGGAAATAGACATGACATAATGACATGTTCAATGCCACTCAACTAGCAAGTAACAGAAACAAGCTTGAAACAGGTGGTCTGACTCCAGCGTCTGTGCTCTGATCTACTGTGTTTTCATATGTGCTATTCTACTAATATATACTTTTTGTAATACATGAAAAACTAATTTTAAAATAATGAGATACATATTGGCAATATTAAAGTTATCATACTTTTCTCCTCTGTTCCAATTAGTCATCTAGAACCACTTCTGAGATCTGTGTGCCTTCCTTCCAAGATCATCTTGGGGGGTTCTTACAGGGGAAATTCAAACTGCTGCCCTCTGGGTCTTAGTGTCCTTGTCTCAATTTGGATTCTATAATGAAGTGGGGTCTGTAACTGTAGAGGCTCTCCTCCAGTTGGTCTGCCATCCACTAGTTCAGGTCACTTCCTTCCCTACCTCCCTGCTTTCCCACTGAGACCCAGCCAGCAGCAAACACCCTCACAGTATTCTTTCATGTCGCTTTGTCCTCCAGCCTAAACTTGCCAGTCCCATTCTATCAGGAAGCTACTAGGTGACGCACTAGCTCAATGAAAAATTAATTTGAACATCCACGTGACTCCTTCCCCTTCTATCTTCAATCTGTGATCACATGAGAACTTCTCTAACCTATTTAAAATTCACACACACACACACACACACACACACACACACACACACACACCTCCTTTCCTGCTTTACTTTTCTCCATGGTGCTTTTGTCAGATGTTATTCTTATTGTTCTACTCCACCTCCTCCAACTCAAAAGTAACAGTTATGAAGGTAGAAATCTCTACTCTATCAGATGTATCCAACCTTGTATTCCCAGTACCGACAGCAGCCATTGGTTCATAGTAAACACTAAAAACTTTGGGTTGAAAAAATGGATAAACCATTTCTCTGGGATTCACAATTTAGGAATTTCAAGCCAACAGAAGTAGTAATATAAGACAAGGGAACTTTTCTTAGTTACATTAAAAAGTATCAGTGCCTAAAATACTGGATATTTTTTACCTGGTATGCTGGAAAAAATTGAACAGTAACCAAGTTACTCATACAGCTGACAATAGGAATTATGCAAGCCCAAAACAAACCCGCTTTTGTTCAATAAACCATTTGTTTTCCAGACAATTTACATAGTTCTTTGGTCCTACCAAACAACGAGGATATAACAGAGCATAGCACAACGTGGTTGATTTGGTGTTTTAAACTAATTCAGATTATTGTTTGAAATATAATTATGACTGATATTTGTCTAAATGCTTACACTGGTGTGGTCAATGCCTGGTTAAAAGTTTCTGTATAGGAAGTGTTCAGGGATTGCAAAGGGCTGGAGATCAGCCACGGCTAAGGAGCTTCGTCGGAAGTTTCCTTTGCATGGCACATTTTATAAGACTGAGCCACAACCAGTTTTTTGCTTGAAAATACAGAAGAGCTAATAGAGATTAAACCACTCCTAACCACTGAATGTGACTGAAATTCTTAATACTCTGAATACTAATGAACTAGAGCATAGAAAACAATTTTATTTTCAATTTATATCAATGTGGTATATTTCAGACAGGCCATAATTGGAGTTTCTTTTAAGCAGAATTATAAACTAACGCCTACCTTTTTTATTTACACAGAAAATAAATCATCTAGAAACTAAATATTTTATTTTCTGAGGTATCACTCTGTAAATATGGATCTCTTTTCAGATCAGATGTCCACAGGAGATAGATTTGGCCCTATCTAAGGCAGATAAGTAGGAGACAATATAATTTATGAGCTGATCAGAAGGGTGCTGAGTTGGATTTTATTAAACTAATATTATGGCTGGCAAGGATGACATGTCAGATGTCTCATTCATTTTAAAGACCATGCCATTTCAATAAATCATTTTTGTAACTTTAAATACATTATATAGGTGCAATGCAAGTCGAGGGTGCGTTTAAATATACCAGACATATTTGTTTGCTTCACTACATCCTGTGTTGCTCATTTCATTTTCTAAAGGTGCAGTTATAAAGATTACATCTAAAGACGTAATCTTTCTAAAGGTTTTCATGAGCTAATCTACATTTTCGTTGTATTCATAAAGTCTTGCTTTGGTGCTGTTATTCTTACTGATTGTTTCTTGTACACAATCAACCCACGTGAACATCATCAGTGTTTCTCTCTGCCTTCTTGCACAAAGAGCAAAAGGAATCTCCTGTTTCAATACCTTTGCTCACGTAGTACTGTGAGAAAACAATACACAAGATGCATTTTCCATAAGATTTCATCTGAATCAGTTGTGTTGTGTAAGATAATGGATTGTATTTCAGAATATTTAAGGTTGAATTCTTTTTTACTGTGTGAACTCTATACTATTTTCTTTTCTCCCCTAACTTCCCCCTGTTTAACAGCAGACAAACCCAGGGAGCACTGAGTGAATCCGATGATCCTGAAACAGGCTGTCTAACTGATAACAAGCCAACTTCTCGACACTTCTATCCTGTCGCCTTGCTGCTTGTCAGCTCACACCTGCTAGTTGTGTGGCTTATTTTAAGTCTGGCGTTACTATTAGCCAAATACCAATAAGTTTTATGTTGTATCCCTTTTTCTTTTCTATAAATGACAATGAACTTTATGGGGACAATGCTGTAATATTTTTACATTTTCAGATTCACGGAATTTAAAAAAAAGTGTTTAAATTGTGTTTTTGTTTTTCCTAAAATCTAAAAATCAAAAAGTACTATGCATTAAGTGGTTTATTTTCCTCTTTTGTTCATGGAAAAGTGTTTCCCACTGTTAACTAGCTCAAGAAGAATTTTTAAATGACTGTCTTTGGAATAAGACAAAGAACAGAATCCTGAAAGCTTGAAGTTCTGAACCTCCTGTCCTCATCCCATTAAATTTATTAAAGAAATTAAGACTGAATTTGCACAAACACTGAAACCCTGAAACAAGTTCTAGAGAGAGATATGGGAGGTTGCAGACTTTATTTCCACTGTGCTAATATCATAGATGCCATCTGCTGATAGAAACTTCTGTGTTTTTGTTTTTGTTTTTTAACCTGTTATTTTACTTCTTTGCTGCAATTAACTCTTTTCTGTCAAGTAACTTTATGGAGAGAATGGCTATTTATGTTTTGTAATTAAATTACCTGTTTGTATCTCTTGTTTGGGTTGATTTGGCTTTCAGAGAATTTTTCTATTCTTTTTAACAAGGTCCTACTTGTGTCTTGATGTACCATTCCTAGCACTTGTGACTTTTGTGCTGTCCATGGACAAGCACTCTTCCTTTATAAAGCTGAGACTTGGCCCAGGCTGCTTGGAAAGCCATTTTCTCTCTTCCTTGCACAGCTAAAATAATTAAATTAAAATAGAGATGAAACTTTTCTTTAAAAATCTATAGGGCCAGACTTAATAAATTAAATGCCTTATGTCTAGAACCTGCATCCTTAGGGCTACATATAGATTTTAATGTGTTTTAAAGAGACTGAGAAATTAATTTGTGGAAATGTTATAAAAAGGCAGATATATTTAATAAAGTGGCGCTGTATTGTGGGGCAAATTATATTTAAAGAGTTTATTAAACTTTAAATGTCTGTTAAGAGTAAAGAGACTTTAGTCATCTCTTTCAGAGGGCAATAATGGTATTGGGCCTGGCCTAGGATTTAATTTTGTAAGATGTATCATCACTTGTGGAAAAAAAAAATGTAGAGTTGAATCTTTGTTATTTTTACTTGGACTGTTGCTGCAACTCTGCATTAAACAAATAAAGCATATTTATTTATTCTGTGTTTCATGAAGTTGTACTTTTTCCCCTTTCACCAGAGAAGGATGCCGCATAGAGAATGTACTGAAGAATATCAAATGCAGAAAGTATGCTTTCAACATGCTACAGCTGATGGCTTTCCCCAAGTACTACAGACCTCCAGAGGGGACTTATGGAAAAGCTGACACCTAAGTTTACCAACATGTTAATAAACAGGAACACAAATACATTTCAGTTGGATAATCTTCACCTTGGTCTTTTTTGTTTGTTCTTATTGTCATGAATTTGTGGTGGGGAAGATGATCACAGATGTTTGCCAAAATCTAAAAACTACTTGAATGCATTATCAGCATATTACTCTGAAAGACATCTATTTTAAAAAATCTTTCTTACAGGATGCAGTCCTATCATCTCTAGTTCTAAGCTTCTATGTGTTGAGCCTAGCTGATTGAGATTAGTTCACAATGTGTAAATTTCATTCATGAGTATTTAATTGTTTCTGAGAAAACATGAATGATTTCAATAGGACTAGAGGTGTTTCGGAGAGCACCACTCTCTGTCCGACTGAAGGGAGGAGAGGGGAAAAGGAACAGAGATTTTTTGTGATACTGCTCAACAGCCTGTGAGAACACAGTCAACCTGAGGATCAATACTAAGGGATTAAAAAAAAGACATGTAGCCGCTTATAATTAGGTAGAGTTAACTCATGATCTGGAATACTGAGGCAGTTTGCAAGTGTGGTCCACAGTGATCTCTATCATCCAGTCAGGATGTAACTCGTCCTCTTGAACAGGCATATGCATAGAGTGAGTAAAGCAGTCAACAGACCTTTCAAAACCATGGCATCTTTTCAGAACTCTGACTTGGGCTGTGTGATCTAGCTGTGGAAGTAGCAATATAGAACATTTAATAGAATGATAGGCAAAACACTGCAATAATCTAAAATTGCAAGGAAAATAAAAATGAACATGTTGATACCCAAAATGTGAGGCTGAGGTGGGCGGTTCACCTCAGGTCAGGATTGCAAGACCAGTCTAACCAACATGGGGAAACCCAGGATCTATTAAAAATATAGAATTAGCTGGGCATGGTGACACATGCCTGTAATCCTAGCTACTCGGGAGGCTGAGGCAGGAGAATCACCTGAACCCGGGCGGTGGAGGTTATGGTGAGCCAAGATTGCCCCATTGCACTCCAGCCTAGGCAACAAGAGTGAAACTCCATCTCANAAAATCCCATCAGCCTGAACTTTCTGACTTTATGTTATGTAGTGTCGAAGGGTCTCTGAAATGTTTTCTAGCAGTCATCTTGGCGTAAGCTTGCAGTATGGCATAGGTTCATATATGTTAATAAGCCTTTAAAACATATGCAACCACAACAAATGATCAACTAAAACAATTATTTTCTGTTACCCAAATTTCAAACTTGCCCTTACTCAGTAAAATAACAACATTGTTAAGTTTTCCAAAATCCCAGTGTAGAAGTTTCCTTAAATATCATCTTGTATAATACCATTATTCAAAAATGGATAAGGTTAGTCACCGCCCAATCACCTAGCAAGATAACTGCAGAATTAGAATTACAATCCCTTCTTACTTTCCTAGTCTGTGGCTTGTTCTATCTCTAAATTGCTCTGCTAAATATGCATGAAAATTGAGAAAGAATGCTAGTTAGTTAAAAAGAAATTAGGATTTATCACTGGAATTGAAACTAAGAATACAAAAGTCTGAATGAATGAAACTTTTTTTCTCCAAATTTTAAGAAGTTATTCTTCTTCCTTTCTCAACAGAAGAGCATGCTATCCAAAGCATAAATCTCCCTTGAAAATAACAGAGGCTTATTAAGCCCTCTCTTAGCTGTGATCAATGGGTAATATTAGCTCCTTGCCTAAGAGTCCTGTTGAAATAAGGATTCCAAACACGTTTCTAGCCCCATGTCAAGTTTTTCAAATTATTACAAATTTTAGATAACCATTTGGGGCTTTTTACACTAGAATTATCAATTTTTTATTTTAGCTAATTACCTGTGGGCATTACACTTGAGGCAGGTACCAAACTACTTACAGCCTTTTTATTGAAAACGTGCTGTACACTTTGAATCTATTCATAGACAAAATTACCTTGATGTCCTCTTTTATTTTACTGATTAAATACAACCTTTGAGTGGTAGGATTTGTGGTTATTTTCATTACCCCATTGGATTTAAGATAAAGAGGCTGGGATGACAGAGGCCTCCTTGAAGAGCTGTGAAGCCTCATTCAGCATATCAAATGGTAGCCTGAGTTCCTAGAAACCTTAATTTATCATCCTGTAAATACTCTTATAATTTTTATTTGTATTTTTAAAAAATGCAGCCACTTGACTCAAATATGGAAAAATATTAACTAGAAAGCCAACGGTAGGATTTTCTATTTTTAAAAACATTTTAAGAATTTTTAAAAATAAATACTAATATAGAAGTCTCAAATGATAGAGTTTACTGTAAAACAAATGCTTATGAATTTTCATTTATTAGCGTAGTCATCTGCATTTCCTGGTAGAAAGCCTGTACTGGTACAAACTTCAAAAAGTAGATTTCATCAAGAAAATGTGTTTCATAGAGACAATATTGCTCCTTTCCTGATAGTTCAAATTCTTGAACAGCCACTTCACTACTTATGAAGTTATTAAAGCTAAATCAAAGAGCAAATGTTAAAAAAAAAAATAGTGTTTAAATCTCCCTTGAACAAACACAACCACAGTCATACTATTCTGTCCATATTTTCACTTAAAAGATAGACCAGCAGACCTATTTCAGGTCATACTGAGCCAAAAATATGAACTGAGCAAACGACATTTCCAAAATCTTTACTCAAAAATAATATGTTCTCCTCTGATATTAAATGCAGATATCAATTCTAGATTAGCTATTTACTGAGAACTAGGGAAAACATATTTAAAGACCAGGAAACCATTCATTTACATCTCATATCATTGTTTTTCTCTTATAAATATTGCCTTGAGTTTTGTCTACACTCTGCCAAAACAAGCCCTGAACAGAGTTTGGTCAGTCTCATAATTCAGTGAGTCGAGCAACCATTTGATCCAGGTGATACATTGTACTAAATGACAACTGCCCCTTCAGGGAAGAGCTCCATGGACCCAGCCTCCAGGCCTTCTAAGACTAACCCCTCTTGTGAAAATCTCTGAAGGCTTAAAAAGCAAGAGCTTGGATGGAGGATACTTCCTTGTTATCCTTCGTCGATGTATGGCATTTTACATTCAATAAGAGGTGAAAAAGGAAAGAAACTGATTAGTATAAGTAATGCCTTTCTTCCCAAGCAAATCAAACCTCTCCCTATGTAAAAGTTGATAGTGTACCAAGAGACACATTACCACTGGTGGGCTGGAACTTGTCTGTTCTGACTCATGAACATTGATAATTAAATTATCAGAAATTCTGTAAGCTAGTTGTTAAACCCAACCATTATTAAATATGAAATTATAAAATGCAATGGAATACATTTTAGAAAAAACAAAGATAATAATCAAAACATACTACTTCCCAATTATTTTACTACCTTATACTATTTATCAATACTCTTGAGTCTATTAAGGTCTACAGCATCTTTATAGTGAAAACAGGATACAGGAATGTGCTACTTTGGGTCTCCTGCTGACTGCAGATTCAAAAACTCATGTTGGTAGCTTGAAACTGTCCACAGTGGGAGTATTTACACCATAGAAAGTGGCAAATGCTACAAACTAGCAATTTTAATTCTTAGAAAGGCAGTTGTTAAATATTTACCAGCACACAGTGAATGCCATCATCTTTTTTCCTATTAGGAAATACATTATAGGAAGCAGTATAAAATTATTAAAATGGTATTAAATGCAATCCCTTTTCTTCAGATGGCTATAATTTTGTTTTGGTTTTTACCTTATTTAAAATATCCTATTAGATTAAGAGTCATATTCGATGCTTAGATTTTATCCGTAATTAAATTATTAAATCACATTTTTCTCTTGATAATGCTTTGCAGGAGAATTCTTAGCAATTCAACTATAGTCTAAGCAATAACTCAAGGCTAAATTCAGGGAAATGTTAGCCCAATCAGATATCACTGAAATTGTACTTCACCATCTATTTTGGAGTTTATAATTTTGGCATTTACTAAAAGTAGAAAAAACAGTAACATATTACTGTGCCCAGATTCTAATAAATATAGCTCAATTGAAACCTAAGCTGTTACATTAAACAAATTACACTTTGGCAGTATGCTAAATCACCGCAGATGTTTTAGGTGTTTAATTTCCAAGCAGGACGGTGTATCATTTGTTTAGCTCAATATACAAGACACCATTTGTAGTCTTTTAGGAAATAAATTAACTTTTATCACAGATTTAGGAAGCTTGTCTAAAAAAACTGTGATCATCAGTTACAGAGGGATGCAAACATATTGAACACAAGGCATTGGAGTAGCTGGAGGCCTTACAAATTATACACGACTAAAAAGAATGATTTGGTGAGAAATGTATAGTTGATTTGACAATTTTAGTGTGAATTCACATTAACTCAGCTGCAATCTACATAAGCTATGCATTTTTCCCCCATATTTATGTTTCATAGCTTATAAAGTCCCAATATATTATATCTTTTGTTGCTTTGACAGTTTTAAATTAGAGCTCTGCATTCACAGAGAATAGCAAAAACTATCTTTAAGAACAGGAAAATAAAATGAATGTTTTAGATAAAATATTGCAAGCCATTAGATGTAGAGTTAATATATGGAAATTAGCATTTGTTTTCTTTCTGAATCATGGTGCCCATTAATCACTCACTGAATTTTATTTCTAAGCAAGTAAGAGAATCAAACATTTCTAAATTAAAAGAGACATATGTCTTGTTATTAATAACAAGGAGACAGGAAAAATAGTAAGGTAAAATAAACAGAAACAAGTAATGAAATTAGCTATGCTGAGTTGGAATTTTTACAGACTGCATGCATCCTTCGAATTTTAAATTTTTAAAAAGTTTAC